AGTAATATGTCCAGATCTTTTAGTCAGCTTTTACTGAACTTTGTGTCAGTTGGATACCCAACACCATGTGTTTTATATTCAATTATTTATTTACTAAGGTTTTCCTAGTAAACTCTCAAAAACTTAATTGAAGCCAAGAAAAAAAACTCAATTGAATCCAGATGGATAAATTCACTGAGGTTTGGTATCAGTTTAATGTTAAGTTGGTACATCATTTAAATACATATAGTAGTAAGACCAGATCAAAAAACAGTATATCACCTTGTGGGCCCTTGTTTTAGGTGATTCGTACAGATCTTTTAATCTCCGTTGTATTAATTACACTTGTTCTGCCAAACATTTGATGGCCATTCTGTTCTCTGTGGTACTTTTATCTGTTTAGATTACCTTTAATATTATACCAGAAGAAGCAAGTAGCTGTTGTGGATACTTTTGCAACTGGAATAATAAATGACAGGTAATAAAATGTCAAAGATTCCCCTGAAATTCAGGAGGGGAAATAACTGTATTCAGGGTAGCCATGTTGGTCATGCTGCAAAATTGTACAACAAAATACAAAATGCATTGTATTCCAGGATTCCATAGAATGGAACCCTGGCAGTTAAAGTGGAATAATAGAGCTATAATTGTGTATTGTGAATGGTCCCTTGAAATAGATTCACCATCCTGTGACACTAGTCCTTGAATCAGGTCTGGAACAGGGCAGCTCCATTCCTGCCTGTAATGCTCATTGTAGGGAAACAAGCAAATATTTTGGCCAAAAGTAGGGATTGGAAATTTCATATAAAGCCAAACTATTGCCTAAGTTATAGGAGAACCTAATGATGGGTTTTACTAAGCGTCAAAAATACAGAAAAGATTTGAGTTGAAATGTCTTAGGCTGCATCTTCAATGACCAGGAAAAAAATGCTAATCTGGAGCGGGGTATTTCAGATCACCATTGCTGGAGATTCCATTTTATGCCCCTAAGACAGCTCAGGAGCTAGATGGCAACTACATTTAGCAGCCCTGAACTGGCAAGGCAGCTGAATGGTGACCACACAGCGAAGTGGCGGCAGAACTGGTTCGGCACCATTCAACCGCAACCCTTAGCTGTTGTCAACCTGGGATGTATATGGTGGCCACAGGGCATGAGAATTACTCTGGACATTGCTCAGCACCTGGATTAACAATATCCAGCACAATGAAGCAACACAAGAGAGAAGATAGAGGATATTTAGTGCTCCCTCCCCCTCCTCCTTCCATATGCTCCCTTATATTCCCTGAATGCTCCTACCCTCTCCAGATTCCCTTCCCTTTTCATCTCCTTCTAGTTTTTTTTAAAATTATCATTCTCTAAGTAGTCTTTTCTGTTTTAGCCTTTTAATATACCACTATATTTTAGCTATTAGTCTAGAGTCTAATGATTGTAGACTCTAGTCTAATAAAGTTGTGGTGGCACAACGGGTTAAACCATCGAGCTGCTGAACTTGCTGACTGGAAGGTTGGCAGTTCAAAGCCATGGGGTGGGGTGAGCTCCCGCTGTTAGCCCCAGCTCTTGCCAACTTAGCAGTTCAAACACATGCAAAAGTGAGTAGCTCAATAGGTACCGCCTCAGTGGGAAGGTAAACAGCACTCCATACCAGCCACATTACCTAGGAGCTGTCTACGGTCAACAGAGGGTCTTAGATTTAGAAATGGAGATGAGCACCACCCCACAGAGCTTCTTAAGAGAAACCTTTACCTTTTTCTGTGCATCTGTGTTTCATTGTTTTGAGGCATTGAATGTTTGCCTTGTATGCCTGCATGCTCAGGGAGATAGGGCGGAATACAAACAAACAAATACATTATTATTATTTAATGTATATTGCTTTTATTATACTGTACCGCACACATCTTATGCTTGTCTATGACTGTAATAAAGATTGATTTGATTTGATTTGGAGGAAAGGAGGAATCGCTCCCTCCTCCCTCTCTAATTGCCTTGTTGCTTTGATATCTGTAGTCTAGGCACCAAGTGGTATTCAGTATCATTTTCATGTCCAGTGGGCACTGCAAACACCAGATCAGCAGGTCAAGTTGGGCTCCACCCCCGGCTCTGGGCTGCCAGAGGCCAGTGAAAGCAGGATGGTAGTATAAACAACTATGGCTGCTTCCAAAATAGGAAGTGGCCCAGCTGCCCAAAGTCAGTTTATTCTGGGTTTCTGATGAAGCTTTCGTTAACATTGTTCAAGGCTGTGTTGACACATGCATCGTGCAATTGCCATGAAGTTGATTTGGTCTTCGTTTGGGATAAAGTATTAGTGAAAATGCACCCCCAGATTAATCATTCAGAGAAATACGTTAAACCAAATCACAATTCAGTGGTAATTGTGTGAAGATGTTCTTTATATATTTCCTACATTTTACAACATTTGTAAATCATGCTTAACCTACAGTCAAGGATTTAAAAAAAACTCTCTCAGAAGGTTTATGATCCTTTTGCATAATCTAGCAATGCATATACTTTGTGCAAAAGGTGAAGCTTTAAGCACGAAGGCTATCTTAGTGCTAAAAGCTCTAAGTCAAAACCTAATGTGTGTTTGGCAAAAGGTTTTAAAAGTGAAGGTTGCTCAGATCTCTTGACTGAGAAAAAGTGCTTCTGAATTTTATACATGATGTATAAAATAGAGGATGCAGTGATGGCTAGAACTGTTTTTCTGAAAAGCAAAAGCTTTTTAATTGTCTCCAAGATACATTGCATTTTTTTCTTTTCAAAGTTTATGAGAAATCTTGTCTTCTGTTAACTGTTTTCCCCAAAGTTACTCCCCTTTGGCCTAAGAGAACCTACTGTGCTTCTCCTCTCCCACATAACCCTGGGGAAGGTACTTACTCTAAATATGGAAGAAGGGAAGCTTCCCTCTCATTGCATTGACTCTGTGGGTGGAAACCTGGGGAGCCCAAGGCTGATGGATTCTTTCACATGTGGTTTCCTCTGTGGAAAACAAGGTCATAAGAAGTGCTGAGAAAACAGACTCTTGGTTCCCATTCCCAGTCTGTGGTGTAAATACCTCATGGGGAGAGCAATGAAGACAAAGAAATCAGTAGATATGAATCAGCAGAAGCTCATAGCCCCTTACATAGTTCTCCAGGATATCATCCTTTCCAAAGTCATGGGATCTACTCAATATAAAACTGATTTAACAAAACAAGCAGTTGGGAGAAGAGAATGATACAGATTGCAGACAGAGAACCCCACCTCCTTAAGGTAGAACCACCTAAACTTGGTTCTACAGGCCAGTGGATACTCCACAACAGACATCAGAAGAGCTGCAAGACCAAGAACAAGCCATGACAATAAGGACAGAAATCCACCCAGAGGAAAAGTCCTCCAAGTTCGGTGTCCTGAAGGTGGGTTCGTAGGTGACTGTGGAGCCCTATTCTTGATCTGCATCTTCTTCCGCAGTGAGGGCATTGGTTTCCAGGTGGAAGGTGGTCCCGGTCAGGGTTGCCATACATCAAGGGAACCACTGACTGCACAGGGAAGCTGATGAAGTAACACAACCTACAACCTACAGATCTACTAAGAAAATCCAACAAATGCTATGTTCGGCAATACACAAGAGGGATCCTCTCACCTCTGCAGGAGTCTACCGTATACCATGCATCTGTGGACAAGTCTGCATAGGGACCACCAAACACACCGTCCAAACAGGAATCAAGGAACATGAACAGCACTAATTCAACCTGAGAAATCAGCCATAGCTGAGCACCTGATGAACCAACATGGACACAGTATATTATTTGAGAACACAGAAATGCTAGACCACTCTTACAACCACCATGTCAGACTACACAGAGATGCCATTGAAATCCACAAGCATGTGAACAATTTCAACAGAAAGGAGGAAACCATGAAAATGAACAAAATCTGGCTACCAGTATTTTTTTTAAAACCCTCTAAAATAAGGACAGTAAATAAAGAGCAACACTCAAAAACCAGGGAAATTCCAGACAATCTATCAGGGCCAGCTAACACCTCCAAAGAAAAGATCCCCAGGTTGCAACCACCCAATCTTCGAAGCTGCAAGGCCATTAAATGCTAAACGGGATGGCCAGTTGCAACATTCACACTAGCCTCAAGAAGACAAGATTTTTTTCTTCCACCCTGGACATTCCACAGATATATAAGCCTCACTTCCCTAGTTTTAATAGACCTCACAACTTCTGAGGTTGCCTGCTATAGATGTGGGTAAAATATCAGGAGAGAATGCTTCTGGAACATGGCCACACAGCCTGGAAAACTGACAGCAACCCAGTTCTCTTCTGTGTTGTTGTCTTATACATTTTGTGCTCATGGAAGCCTAGTTGGATAAGATGTGAAGAGAAATTGTGCTTCATCTTCATCAAGGGGTCCTTCATATATGTACACATATGAATTTAGATGCAAACATTGATTCTATCTTCTTTTAAAACTTTCTTATACATCTCTCTGGATCAGGAGCAGTATCTGAAATTCTAAAACATGTACACATTTGTATGATTGTGCGTGTACACACAGAGATGTAGACCCACCATTCTCTCTAATAATTTTGTTTTTATTGCAGGTAGCAACCTCTATTTTGTAAATCATTTTTCATAGTCAGTCAGTCATTCTGAGGTCTGCAGCAATATAACGTTATTAGTTCATCAATCTGTGGTTCAGGCACACACCTCAATTTATCTGTGAAGTGTTAAATCAATACATTTAACGCATTTAAGTGTTTCTGTGACTGGCCACCACAAATTTAAAATGGTTTCCAAAGAAAATAAATATTGTCAAGATGTTACACACCATTTAAGTGCAGAAGGAAATCGAACACCTGCTATTACTTTATTTCCTTGCTGTTAACTTTACTTTAAACTCCACTTTCCTGCTGATCCGGTTGCAGTATGCATTCTTACAGTACAGGCTGATCTTGTGACTTTTGTTGTCTGTCACAAACCAGTGGTACCTATATTTTATTTTTTCCATAAATGAATTACTCTTTCATTTTTTCCAGAATCACCCAGCAAGACTGAAATTTCGTATACAGGCGGAGAGAGAGCAACTTGTCATCAGTTTGGAGAGAAATGAGTAAGTGGTCCTAATTTGTATTCCTCTCCATCCAGTAGTGTTAGTGAGCAGATTACAAAGATGACATTGATGGGCTAGGTTTGTAATGCATAGGGAACAGTCTGCTATTTATCTTTTATTAAAAAATAGACTCATGTAACCTGATTTTATAGGGGTCTTCTGCACTTTTAAAACAAAATGATGATTCTGTGAAAGTACATATATAACACATTCATCTGTTGTACACTAAGACCCCATTTACACTGACCAATTAATGCAGATTCAAAGCAGTCTTAAATAAAGTGGTTTCATTATGCAGATGATTATATAGGAAAACCAGTTTGAAGCCTGGATGGTGGTTACACAAACCACAACATAATGATGTGCATTAAGACCTTTCTTTCATGTGGTTTTGTGGAAGTTTGTTATCTGGCCACCAAAGTTTGAAGCTGCATTAAATAGTCAGTGTAGATGGGGCCTGTGTTTGTTTTACTTCTCCTCAGTTGCAGCTCCATTCAACACTGTAAAGGGCATGGCCATTGTCTTGAAAACCCTGTATATATTTATACAGGGTTTTCATTTTACAGTTTAGGTTGGCAACAGACGACCTGTGATGCAGGAACGGTCACTGCTTAGTTTGCCAATTACTTGAGGGCAGGTGAGACTAAAATTGCATTGTAGTCTTTGCTCACCTTGTGGCGCAATGGGTTAAACTCTTGTCCCAGCTGAACTGCTGACCTGAAGGTCAGCGGTTCAAATCCATGAGATGGGACAACCTGTCAGCTCCAACCTCCCACAGGATGGCAACATATTTGGGCATCCCTTGGGCAATGTCTCTGCAGGCGACCAATTCTCTCCCACCAGAAGCAACTTGCAATTTCTCAAGTCGCTTCTGATATGATAAAAAATACCTTGTGATAATTGAACTGCAATGTATATCAGACAGAATAGTTCCTACAGTTTCCCTCAATCCAGTTATGGTAGTTTATTGATTTTGCTATTTCAGCTTAAGGAATCTAATAGAAATGGAATGAATGTTGAAATATGTTCAGAGAATGGTCAAAAACATGTGTGGGTTTTTTTTTAATGTTCAGAAAACCTGGTGTAAACAATCTTGGATTGACACTCTTCTCAATTTGAGAGTTATCCTGTGCAAAATGTGCATGTGAAAATGGCATTTCATGCTCACAAAACAACATTTTTAGATTTTTTTTTATTTTGTACATTTGTATCCCGTCCTTCTCACCCCTCCCCCTGGGGATGGGGAATGGACTCAGGGTGACCTCACAATTGGCAACCATTAGAAAATAAAATAATACTTCAGCACAGAAATATTAATTTCTACTTGGAAAATCCTGTTTCCTATGCAGAAAATATTGTAATTGTGTAAAATCACATAAGGTTGATTAAATAAAAAACAGCACCGAAATTAATAAGTTTGTGTTTAAATATTCTTTTTACTCAGAAAATGCTGTTTTCTATGCCAAAAATGCTATTTTATTCACAAAGCAACTACATGTGTGTTTTGTGAAGAATCAATAATGAATGCCATATACTCTTTGAAAACTGCATGATTTTTTAAAGACTGTGGGAAGAAAAAAAGCTGAAATTACTTGTTGCTTCCACCGAGAAGAAACTTAGTGAAGAATAACATCCCTAGCAAGATCAGTTTGGGGGTGCTGTGGTTTGAGCTGTGAATATGTATCAAATATGTTTGAATGGTTTTAAATGTGCATCTTTTAATACTGTTTACATTTAATTCTGTTTTAATATTTGTATATTTGTGTATTTTAAATGCCGTGCTAATGTTTTAATGTTAAACTGCTTTGAGTCCCCTTCGGGGGAGATAAAGCGAGATGGTAATAATAATAATAATAATAATAATAATAATAATAATAATAGCACATAACACTAACAAGTCAGTATGAAGACAGCTGCTACAGGTGATGAAATAGTGCAAAAATATATTCTGTGTTTGAGATGATGTACAGGCGTTTATCTTTTTTTAAAGCATGACTGCAACAAAAAGTGTCAAGTGTAATGTTTGGTGTTCTGTTATCAAAGATGCCACACTGCAATGGATCTGTCTATGTTGTTCAGATTTAGTCCTCACATTACTTATGTTCCTTTTCTTTAAAATAGAACCACTGGCTTTTCCTAGAATCCTTGTATCTGTTGAATTATATGCCAATGTTTCTTTGTGTGCCATTGGAGGCTATTAATATTATAGTAAAATGTCAGACACATTTTAGATTATTAGATGCTGTTTTGTCACCCTGATTTATAGAATCATGCTATGTTGTTTGAGATGTTTTTAACAGACTTTGGGACACTGTTCTGTATGGATATCTTCTGTCCATCTGTTGGTTAGTTAATGTCTGAGTTTCATGCTCATGTCAAATAGATTTAAGACATGACTCTTCCTTTGACGACATGTGTTTGTAATTTGGGTGTACCTCTTGGTTAAACCCTGAGCCCGATTTTCCCAGTTTCTGCAGTGACCGAGCAGCTGTCTGCATAATTAAAACTAGTGTACAAGTTAGGACATTTGTACAGATGTCTTATTTGTCTATGGTGAAATATATTACTGTGAAGGTCCTAGCAGTTATTTGAAGACACAAAAGACTTCCTAATCAAAAATAGAATTGTGTGTGTGTGTGTGTCATAACCGCATTTTAAAGGAAAGATGTCTAAGAGAAATACCCTGAAAAAAGTCAAATTGCAAGATCAGCAGAAATTTGTAAGCAGGGTTTCAACTTATCACATCAGGTATGCATACAGAACAGGTAAGTGACCTAAGGGACTATGGGAAGCAGAAATCGAACAAGTAATCTGGTATGTATCCAGTGGAGGGCAACTAAAATGATCAAGGGTATGGAGAACAAGCCCTATGAGGATCAAAGAGCTGGGCATGTTCAGCTTGAAGAAGAGAAGGCTGAGAGGAGACATGATAGCCATGTATAAGTATGTGAAAGGAAGTCATAGGGAGGAGGGAGCAATTTGTTTTCTGCTACCCTGGAGACTAGGACTCGGAACAATTATTATTATTATTATTATTATTATTATTATTATTATTAACTTTATTTGTACCCCGCTAGCATCTCCCGAAGGACTCGATGCGGCTCACACAGGCCGAAGCCTCCAAAACACAGTACAACAAAACATAGCACAACAGCAAACAAGCAAATCAAAACAGTTAAGCAAATAAACAATAACAGTAACAATACATCAGGACACTTTAAAAACTGGGCCGGCCAGAGCAGAGGGTACAGGATTAAAAGTGCTGAAGTGGCAGGAGGGACGTAGGATTAAAAATATAGTGCAGTGTGCAGCGATCTTAATTCTACTAAAATGCTTCTAGGACTTGGTGATGGGGATTCCTAATCTGAGAAGGCACATCGGAACAACCAAGTTTTTAAATTCTTTCTGAAAACTGCCAGAGTAGGGGCCTGTCGAAGCTCTTTTGGGAGGGCGTTCCAAAGTCGGGGGGCCGCCACAGAAAAGGCCCTGTCTCGTGTCCCCACCAAACGCGCTTGCGACGCAGGTGGGATCACGAGCAGGGCCTCTCCAGATGACCGAAGTGAGCATGTGGGTTCGTAGATGGAGATGTGGTCATGCAGGTAGGGTGGTCCCAAACCGTTCAGGGCTTTGTAGGTGAGCACCTGCACCTTAAATTGGGCTCGGAAAATAAATGGCAGCCAGTGGAGCTTCAAACTACAAGAACTGAGATTCCATCTGAACATTAGGAAGAACTTCCTGACTGTGAGTGCCGTTCAGCAGTGGAACTCTGTCCCAGAGTGTGGTAGAGGCTCCTTCTTTGGAGGCTTTTAAACAGAGGCTGGGTGGCTTTCTGTTGGGGGTGCTTTGAATGCAATTTTCCTGTTTCTTGGTAGGAAGTTGGACTGGATGGCCCATGAGGTCTCTTCCAACTATACGATTCCATGATTCCAAGTAACTTGAAACCACAAACAGTGTAATTCAGTAGATTTATATTAAGCAGCTATATTTAATGATCTCTTGGTTGTTCCTGTTGTCACTTTTTTTTAGAGTTATCATGATGTAATGGTTTGACTAGGACTCTGGAGAACAGGGTTCAAATCTCTGTTCAGGTATGGAAACCCACTGGGTGGCCTTGGGCAAGTTATATTGTCTTCTCAGATAAAGGCAATGGAAAACTTAATCTGAACGAATCCTGCCAAGACAAAAAACCATAATAGGGTTACAATAAATCAGACATGACTTGAAGGCACAGAACAACAACAAATACGGAAGACAAAAGGTCAGATGTTCAGCCCATTAGAAAGTAGTCTTATGGGGTTAGATAGTGGACAGCAACTGAGATGTAACTGAAACCAGCTGTGGAGTGCCGAGAGGAACCACAGTTGTACAAATAAGTTGAAGACCTGAAACTGCAGATAATAGAGAACCACACATTTTGACTATACCATATAATCACACTAGTGGACCATCCAAGGTGAATTTTTAGAGTATGGATAAGTGTAAATGTGGATATCAAATCTGTGGATAAGGGGGTCATACTATATAATTCACTAAATCTTTATTACTATTTATTTGTTAATTGGATTGTAAACTTTCATCATGGATATTTTGGGTAGTGATGATGAGGAAAAGCAGGTTGAAGGGCCAGCGTTGGAACTGGAGCTCTGCAGTACCCAGTAGCTCGCTCAGCCAAATTTAGACAAAGACCCTATGGAGGTAGTGGCTACCACTTTTCAGCCTGCAGAGCAAGTACAAGCAACAAGTTAAACATGAGCCAACAATATGATGTGACGAAGAAAAAAAAAAGCCAAGGGGATTTTGGCCTGCATCAATAGGAGTATAGCGTCTAGATCCAGAGAAGTCATGCTACCCCTTTATTCTGCCTTGGTTAGACCACATCTGGAATATTGTGTCCAGTTCTGGGCACCACAATTGAAGTGAGCTATCGACAAGCTGGAATGTGTCCAGAGGAAGGTGACTTCCTGACTGTGAGAGCCATTCAGCAGTGGAACTCTCTGCCC